GGAGAGGGCGTGCTCGTCACCCAGCCTTCTCCTGCGACGGCGAACGCTGCTGGGTGCTGCAGCCTCCGGACGGGATGTGGGACCCCACTGCAGCTTTACAGGAACGGATTAGAATGGACCAGAAGGACGAGGGTGCCCAGCTACACACCCACTTATTTGTGTAGTTACCCACATGTTAAGATTGACAAGTGGTCAAGATTTGACAACCACCTGTCACTAGCTGGCAGTCTGTCCCTCAGCATCTAGTGTGAACTATAAGCTGGGGGGGGGGGCAGACAAGAGCCTTCATCCCAGCAGGGCCCCCGCGCCCCCGCCGCCCCCGGAACATTTTTCCCCCCTTTAAAAAAAAAAAAAAGACGAAAAGGAAATTTCTTGAATACTAAAGACTCGGTCAGCACTGCCTCTCTTCGCAGCAGGCCTTCCCCTCCCCGCCTGCTCCTCCTCCCCAGGCCGTTCACCCTGCAAGTCTTTCCCGAGCCCCCAGGGCCCTCCCTGGGCCTCCGTAACTTCTCTCCTGAGTCCACACAGCCTGGCCGGCTCACTTCTACTGCCTCTGTGAATTTCTAAATGAACTTTTGCTTGTTTTTAAAAAAGCAACCAACCAAAAACCTCTGTCCCACCTAAAACTTTTGCACAAATTTGTTAATGTGCAGTTATGACTTTACTATTCAGCCTTGTCTATAGACTTTACCAGAACTTTGGGAATGAAAATTAATACACTAAAAAATGTTTATCATCAGGGAAAGGAAGAAAGGAGTACAGGGAAATGTTTATTTGGGTTGTTATGACAACATGCTCTCTTTCCCATCTGTCGGACTTTGGCTTGACAGAGCGTAAGAAACACTCAACATCTACCCTACAGATAAAAAAGGAGCTAAAATGTTAGACGAAGTTGGACAGATTTCTGGCTCCACTCACAACACTTTTGTAACGCCTACAGCATGTGCCACACTCTCTGCCGCTTCCTCTCGCAGTGGGCAGGCTCACGGACAGCGATGAGGGAACGAACCGCGTGGTGGGGAGGGTGCTGGCGGCAGTGACTGCAGGCCTGAAGCAGGCCGACGTCCACCCTGGGGCGTCACGGGGCCACTCCCTGAGTCCTGGCGTGCCCTGCACTCATGCACTGTGCTGTGGCATTGAAATTAGAAGAAGGAGGCGCCTTGCTTCCATTGCCGGCTGCACGGCGCTAGGAGTCGGTGCACAGGCTGCGGGTGGCGGCTGCGCCACGGCGACAGGAACAAGAGCACCAGCTCCAACTCAGGTGGGAGGCTTTCTTTGTAGATTTTTCCAGGTCAGGCAACTGGCGGCCAGCCGCTGCCTCCCAAGCCATTCGTCACAGCCCACCCAGAGAACCCTTGACTTCCAATGGCTATTTTCCCATGAGCCAGATGCAGCGGGTACTGGCTGATGGCTCTGGGAGGAGCACCGTTAGGTGGATCGGGCTGGCGGAGAGAAGCGGGTTCTGGCTTCCCTGCTCTGGAACCTCAGACGCATGACGCTCTTTGGTGGACTCTCTTGCTCTGATCACGAGCTAAGTCGCTGTCTTACAGGTGAGCCAGACTTCCCTGAACCAGGCACTTGGCCTGTCAGGGGCAGGGGCACAACTGAGGGCTGCAGAAACCCCGAAAGGAAGGCTAGCCAACCCCCTGGAAGCAATGCAGTTAAAGCTGCAAGAGGAGGTGGAGAACGTGCCCGACCCCTGAACGCAGTCCAGGGCGAGGCCCGGGGAGGCCACGCGTGCCTGAGAATCCCGGGAGAGAGAGGCCACGACAGACAGGCGAGGGAGGGGGCTGAGGGTGCTCGCCGCGTCGTCAGCATCCCCCAGCTCGAGAGCGCCCAAGACCAGACGCACCGCCTGGCAGGCGGCAGTGCTGGGACACGCCGTCCAGTTGACTTTTTAAAAAATCCTCCCTGGCGGACATGCCCCACCTGGGGCGGAACCCACAACAGTTATGCGCCCTGACCAGGAATCGATTGCACGACCCACTTACAAGACAGTGCTCCCACCTACTGAGCCACTCCAGTGAGACCCAGATGGTGCCTAACGCAGCCGATCAGCCGGGGGAGGCGAGCGCGGAGGGTCTTCTGTCTAATGCCCCTTCCTGCTGCTCAGAGTCACAGCGCATCTGTGCTGAGAGGCCCCGGAGGAACTGTGTGGCCTGCATTCCGTTTCACAGCGGGCTGATGAGACGTGCATCCCTGGGACACCCTGGGAAGCACAGGAGTCTCGGGGGGCGAGTCCTGGGCCAGACAGGCTCTGAGGCCACCTGCCCACGGTCCCTGCGCCTGTGGCTGTGGGGATGGCGGGTCCTGGTCCTGCCCACCAGGACCCTCTTGCTGTGTCTCCTTCTCCTCTGGGCTCAGGGCTCGGTGGGTCTTCACGTGTTTATCTTTCTACCTCTTCGGGTCTGCTTGGAACTAGTGTTGGGTGGCAAGATAATTCATTGGGCAGGAGAGGGAACGCTGAGCCACCTGTAACAGGACAAGCACGGCTGCCTTTGGGGACAGTGAGACAGCGGGGCCCTACCCAGTCAGAGCTATGAGGGTCTGGGTGCACACCAGCCTGTGTTGCAGAACTGAGGAGACCCAGGGCCGACAGCCGAGGGGGCTCGGGTCCCTCCCTACTGTGGGAAGGTGGCCCCTGTGGGACGAGAGACGAGCATGCATGTCTGACAGCGTTAAAGGGCTAAAAATGTACCGAAGGTGTCCTACCCACACGCGTGAGCACGCAATAAACACCGCACCGTGGCCTTGCTCTGGGCCCAGCATAATCCGCATCCCTGCTGCCTCCTCCGCCCCCACAAAAATCCTGGTGGCCCGCATCTGGCAGCTGCCACAAAAGAGAACTCCCAGGGGGCACTACTACCCCGTGCTCACCCCCGGCCGCAGCCAGAGCCGGCACTTCACCTCCTCGTGTTTGAAAAGGACAAATCTCTGAAGGGAGAATCCAGGCACCGTGAAGGTGGGGTGAGGAGAGAAATTCCAAAGTCCCTCCAACCAGAGTGCAGGGTGACTGGCTCCTCCACAGAGCCGCCCCAGAACCCGGGCAGGAGCCAGCCACAGCCACAGGGTTCCTCCACCTTCTGCTGTCTCTCATTACAGCAGCCCCGGGGGCTGGGCTGCTCCAGGGTCCAGCACGACAACCCAGGGGTCTGCCCAGGGCAAGGGTAGAGGTGGCCAAGTCCCCTCCCACCCATCTCTGTCCTAAGCACTTCCAGGTGTCCTGGTGCCCCCTGACACCTCCCCTTTGCCGCCCACCAGCGATGCATTTGTCTTTGACCGGGCTCCCTCCCTTCCTACTCTGCTCCAGAGGGAGCTGGTGGGGCGGGGGCCTCGTGGCCCCGACGGGACTACTTCTCTCCAGCCACACTCTGCTCCTCAGACGCTTTCCCAGGCTGACCCCTCCTGGAGCCTAACATCTTTAACCCAGCAGCAAGCCCCTCGGGGGACTGCCCGCCCCCATCTCGGCCCCTGGTGGCCAACGGGTTTACTCCCCAGGCCTTTCCTGCTTGCCTGGGCCTTACTGAGATGGCCCCTTTCCCTCCCCCAAAGTCAAGCCTGAAGACAGGCTGCCAGAGAACACAGACAGGACCCGGTGCTGACGAAATCCGATCCCAGGCACTGAAGGGTTACTGCTGGTCCTTGGCTTCCAGGCCCCCACCTTGAGAACTCTGGTCTGAATTCCCCAGAGCCCTGGGCCTGGAGAGCCGCCCAGCGGCCAGCACCAGCTGCAGGCTGCATGATGGGGCTGTCCCCCGAGCTGACTGACAAGGGTGCCCTGGAGCACAGCAACCGTGACACTGAAAGCGAAGAGTGAGCGGGAGGACATGGTGGGAGCGACGGCAGGGTGACCAGATGGCTGGGGGGCAGGGCTGGATTCCACCTCCTACCACGCCCTCTGGTGAGCTCCACATTCACTCACTTGGTCCTTCCCACTCCTCCCTCTTCTTCTTCCTCCCTTTTGTTTTCCAGAGTTGAGAGGCGTATTTCCTCTCTAAACCACAGTTCTTCAATTTTTGTGTTTTTGGCAGATGAGCTGCTGCTCTCCAGATGGACTTCTCCGCGAGCCCCACCCAGTTCTGGTCGGCTGGCCCGGGCCCCACACGCCACACTCGGCTGCCCCTTCTGCAGCTGCAGCTGCCACTCACACTTCTATGCACTCAGTTCCAAGGCACAGAGGCTCCGATTCAGGATGATGAACATGCCAGGGATTCAGTCTTTTCAGAAGCTTAGAACTAGCCCAGACCCCTATCTGCATCTCCTCTGGACTTTCCTTGATTCGGGACACGGCCTGGGCAAATCCCTGTGTGTGCCATTAGAGTGGGGGAGGGGGCGTCCACCGGGCAGTGAGTCTGTGAGGTTCTGTGACCGATTTCAACACAGACGGCGGGGATGCTTCAGGATGCGCCTGAGCTCTTCAGTGCGGCCCCGCAGCCCTGCCGTGGGCCTGGCCGCCACCTCTGCCGGCTGCTCACTTTCCACTCCACTTTCCTTTCTGCTCAGCCTCCTGCGTCCTCGCCCTTGAAGGGACAGCTCCTTCAGCCTGGACGGAAGGCGCCTGCTCTGGGAGTGAATGGCCCCCTGGGTCCCCTGCACACACCGCCTCTCGAGTCTCACAGCACAGCACTGGGTGGTCTGCTCACTTCCCTGTCCCTGCAATGTACCGAGCTCCCTGAAGGCCTTTCCCTCCTGTTCCCAGAACATGGTGGGCGCCCAACACAAAGCAGGAGGAATGAAAACACCACATACCAAATACCAGATCAGGCCACACACCAGGAAAGTGTGGCCCAGCAGTGCAGGCCTGCCTCGGCTCACGGCACTCGTGCGCTTCGAACCTACAGTCTCCGCTGCCCAGTGACTCCCCGTCGCCCCGGAGGAGCTCCCCCTGCGACCCCAAGCCATCGCCTGCCACCGCCAAGCCATCGCCTGCCACCCGACCTCAGAGGGCCTACCGCTGCCTGTCAGCCCCCTGCACTAGCAGCAGTCCCCACGGTGGGTACCTGAGCTTGTCTGCGATGAAGATAACCCTCCTTTCCAGAAGCAGAGAGGCAAAAACGCAGAGCAGGTGGCGGACGCTGAGAGAAGAGAAGAGACACTCAAAGTCCACGTGTTCGAGCCGGGAGTCCAGCGGGCGGCACAACTCAATCACCTGCCGGGAAAAGGAGCTGTCGTGAGGGCCCAGCCTACTTGGCCAGGCCTCTGGCACATGCAGTCGTCCTCAGCAGGGGTGGCCCACTGGCAGGGGCAGAGGGAAGGGGGAAGGGCAAAGGGACCGGGGAAAAGAAGAACCAAGGAGACGGGGGGAAACCATCTGGAAGGGAGGCCTGTGCCTCACACCCAACAATGAGACTGAGGACAGCGTGGACGGAGGTGGGAGATGGATGCCCATAAAATGCCATTTATGGGGGGTCAGAGGGCAGCGTGGATGGCAGCAGCAGTGGCCCTTGGCCCCAAACGGTCGGAGGCTCTCCTGGCAATGATATATCTGCACCACCCAGAATTCTATGACTGGTGACGAGGCGCTCTCCCTTAGAACCCCACCGCCAGCGTCTGTCCCAGAGGGAACGTCCCCTGCCAGAGTGCACCCCGGGCTCATGCAGAGAACCGGCAGATTGGAGCAGCACTCCCCAGACTCCCCTGCTCTAGAAGACGCTTCTGAACAGACTGCCCACCCGAGCCCTCCCCAGGTGGTGTCTTCCCGCCCGGACGCTGAGAGTGTGTGTCTTCTCATCCTGCACTTGCTGTGATGGCCCTGAACTCACCTGTGGTCAGTCCTCACATGCACGGCTTTCCTCTGTGAGCGGCTACCCTCTAACTGTCAGCACTGGTGCTGGGGCATGGCGGGCTCACTGGTGCCAGGGCCTGGTGGCCAAGCTGCCTCTGGAGGCTCTCCGGCTTCAGGGAGATGGCTCCTCTGTGCTGGGAACCTGGGTTGTTCCAGAGTGCCCCAGACCTGTCCTTATCCCTCCCTGTCTCCACAGGTGACCTGCTTTTCCAGGGCCTTTGGAGCCAGAGCCCCAAGTCTGCGTGGGATGGGCCTTCTGAGGTCCACAGAGCCACATACACAGAACGGGAAGAATGCAAACAAGCTCCAGCATCAGGCACCAGCCCAGCCAAGGACAGGGACACCTGTCCCAAGCCCAGGGTGAATGAGAAGTACCTGAGGTTGCTTCCCCTGAAAATACTCTGTGTCACATGGTAAAGTGACAGAGGTGACGCAGACCACAGCCATGAGTAGGTTGTGCACAATCCGTGAATGCAGTGGGCTGCCAGGAGAAGCAAGGATGCTCAGTGCAGGTCCCTGACCTGCGAGGCCAACATCATGTGAAGAACCACACGTGCGACTGAGTTCTGGGGGCTGCTCTCCGGCTGGGGTCCTGGGCTGGATGGACTAGGCTTCCGTGGACTTTATGACAGCCGTGGAGCCAGAGGGCACCACTGGAGGTGACCGTCCACCAGAAGCCAGCCCCTCAGACCGCTGGGCCTTGTGCGTCTGCCCCACACTCTGCCCCAGGACAGGAAAGGAATCTGACCGCTCACCTCTGTTCCTGTTCCTGGCAGGAAGTTCTTGACGATGATCGTTTTGCCCAGGGCTGGGAAAGGGGCTTCCATGACGCTCCTCATGAGGGGCTGCACCAGCGCAGGAGAGACGCGTCGGCGTTTCTCCACCTCGTCCAGGATCTGCAGGGTCGGAGGAGCAGCTCAGCCACCTGGGCTCGGGCCTCAGGGCGCCTCCCAGTAAGGGGTGAAGTGCAGTTCCTCGCCTCCCTGGACTCAGGGTTTGGCCACGTGAGGTACTGGGCGTTCTCAGTGGGAGGAACATACAGATACGCTAAAAGCCACTGAACTGTATGTTTTAAATCAGTAAATTATATATAATCAGTTATAGTACAATAAAACTGTTACCAAAAAATTCAAATGCAAGATGCTCCACAATCTAGTTGTAAATCAAAGAGCTTAAATAAAAATGCTGTTTATGGGGGGTCGGAGGGCAGTAGCAGAGGGGAGATAACGGTGATGGAAGGAGACTCAACTTGGGGTCTTACACACACAATACGACACGCAGGTGATGTATTATACAGAACTGCACACCCGAAACCTATATCATTTATTAACCAATGTCACCCCAATAAGTTCAACAAAATTAAAAGACATAACTTCAACTACACTTTAATAAAACTGGAAATAAAAAGAAAAATGCCATTTATAATAACATACATGTACCTATTGAATCCTTGAAATATGGCTAGTCTGATTTGAGATGTGTTCCAAGCATAAAATACTCAGTGGATTTCGAAACACACAGTTAAGAATGTAAAATATCGATGACTTTCCATATTGATTACATGATAAAATGATACTATTTTGGAGATGCTGGGTTAAATAAAATTTATTACTAAAACTGAAACACAGTATGGAATTTCTTAAAAAACTAAACACAGAACTATCGTATGACACAGCGATTCCACCCCTGGGCACAAACCCCAAAGCATCGGAAGCGGAGGCTCAAACGCACGTGCGCACGCTCGCTCACAGCAGCACCAGTTGGAGCAGCTGGAGGGTGGAAACAACCCAAGTGTCCGTCAGCGGATGAATGGATTAACAGAACGTGGTGTGCACATATTGTGGAACATTACTCAGACTTGAAAAGTTGAGAAATTTGCCCCTGCTGGTGCGGCTCAGTGGATTGAGAGCCAGCCTGCAAACTAAAGAGGTGATGGTTCGATTCCCAGTCAGGGCACCTGCTGGGTTGTGGGCCAGGTCCCCAGTAGGTATTTCTCTCCCTCCATTCCCCTCTCTCTAAAAATAAACAAATAAAAAATAAACAAATAAAACTCATTAAAAAATGAGTTAAGGAAATTTCACTTATGTTCTAACACGGATGAAGCTGAGGACACGTGCTCAGTGAAATAAGCCAGTCATGAAAGGATCGGTACTGTGTAATCGCACTGACTCGAGGTGCTGGAGCAGTCAGAGTGATGGGGACAGAAAGCAGAGTGGCGGCTGCCGGGGGCTGTGGGTGGCAGGAGGGGGTGGGGAGTGTCCAGTGGGCACAGAGCTTCAGTCGGGGAAGATGAAGTTCTGGAGGTGGGTGCTGGTGGTGACAGCCTGAACGAACTCAATGTCCATCAACCGTGCACTCCAGAACGGTCAGAGTGTAAGTTTTACGTTACATATATCTCAGCATGACAGAAAGGAAATGATATGACAAAAAATTTAAAAGAATTTTGTAGGGAGGGGAGGCAACTCGGGAAAAAATACCTAAATAAAGGATGTGTAGGGGAACAATGAAAAAATGTCGAGGAGCATGGGGCTGGTGGACTGGGGGGCCGGTGCCAAGCCCAGGCCCCGGAGGCCGGCCTTCCACGTTTCTGCTCGCTCTCTTGTGCCCCTGCGCAGCCGGGAGAAGCGCGGGCTCTGAGCAGGATGACAGGCTCAGACCCAGATGCGGACGTGCAGCCCTTCACAGCCATCGGCCAGCCCAGACCACAGCCCCCAGCTACTCATCACTCACGAGTGAGCCCAGCGAGGTCAGTGGAGCCAAACGCCAGCTGACCTGCACGTCTGGAGAATGAATGGCTCTTGCCACACAGCATCGCTGTGGCAATGTGTAATGGAACAACTTCTTCAGAGACTCTGAGACCGGTTCTTCCTATGGGTGATTCCCTTCTGCACTGAAGGACTGTCTGCCCTTCTGGTCATCCTTGCCTCTCACCTGAAAATAGCTTGAGTTCTAGGAACCAGTTTGCCAAAGCCCTGTTTCTGGTTCTGTCCTGAGTGTTCGCTGTGTGGTCTCTGGCAAGTCAGGACAGTACACTCTTACGATACCCCGGCCACAGAGCTGAGAGGAGTCCCAGGTCCGAGCACCATGCCAGCGCACTGGCAGGTTTACCTGCTCCACATGCCCTGCACAGGACCCAGCACCGAGGCTCCTGCGAATTCCAAGGCTGCCCCTGCAGGCCAGGCTCACTCGCACAACCTGGTTTACTTCCAGCCTCCCTGAGCATTCTCACGACAACAAAGGCTGTGACCTACAGCCTTATCTCCACCTCGGAACCAGCCTGCGTGAGAGACCTGCACCAGCAGCAATGCACACCTGTGCTGGAACCCGTGCTCCACCTGGAACAGGTGTTTGAAACAGGCTGGCACAGAAGTACAAGTTCTAGCACGGCACGAGGTCTCACAGTATCGGCCTAGCTCAGACTTCCTCTGAGTGCCGGTGCAGGGTGGGCAGGGGCGGTCTGCGGTCTTGGGATGCTTTCAGGAACTGCCGCCTTACATCAGGGGGCAGTAGATGTAAGACTTCAACCCTCTGAAGGGAAGCTCAGACTGAAATAGATGCTCAGGAAGGGCTTTAAATAAGTTCCTGCTTTAGATATTCACGTCTGGTTCATATGGGAAACAAATGTTGGATTATACCTCATTCTTGAGATCAGCGTCATACAGCACAGTACTTATCTCCTACACAATCCAAAATACTGGGTGGACGGGCCAACTCAATATGGCAGTTCCTGCATCTTGATATATTGGCTTGTTTTCCCACGAAAAGGGCCCAATTATATGGAGATTTCAATAGTTGTAGAGCACTATTATGGTAATAAATCTCACACACGTGCAACATAGATACGCACAATACGCATATACAGACACATATCCATCCACGCCCCCCCTACCCTTCATCTTAGTGGGTTTTTGTCCAGCAAAAGCTAATTTGACAAAAGGCTTTCTTCTTCGGAGAAGGAAAGTAAAACCTTTGGGATATCCTGGGAAGTCCTCTGCCTCCCCCAACCTCAGCTACAGTTACTCGGACTCCCCCCTCCCCAGTTTCCTTCATCTGTAATGCTAAGAGAATAGAGGCGGCCATGAGGGGAGGAGGGGGAGGTGGGAGGGGAGACAGGACGACGACCAGATGAGAAAAAGCTCCTGGGGAGCTGGAGAGTTTCCGTGCCCTCCTGGGCCCAGCCTCCTCCCTCAGAGGCCCAAACCCTCACCTTTGAAAAGAGGCTGAAGCATCCCAGGCGGCTCACGATGCAGTAAACTTCGGGGAGACGCTTCCCTTTGCCTCCAGGCTTTTTTGGAGAGAAACACAAGAAATCCTGAGTGCTACCGGTCCCGGGGAGAGAACCTAAGCATTTCTGAAAATCTACAGCGCATCAGATGTTTTCCTGTACCACACAGTGCGACACCCCGGTGAGGTAAGGAGTTATCAACACCCTAATTCCACAGGTGGGAAGCACTTCTGGCCACACAGTAGGAATCTTTTCACCTTGCGGAAGGAATCAAATCGAGGGCGTTGCACACACAGTGAGTGCTCAGTATGACCCGGGAACCCTAAGTAAAAGGCATAATGTGCTCGCCCAGGCCACTGCAGCTCCTTTAAGGAGTTGCCTTGGCCCTGTATACTGATGATAACGTAAATTCCAGGAGAGACATTTCTGAAAGTCCTTTCTGGAAACTGACTTATAAGCCAATTTTCAAACCAAAAAAAAAAAGAAAATCAATTTCAATACTTCAAATTAATTTTATCAACAGAAATTATGATCCCACTTAACTTGCTCAAGTATTATCCACATTCTTTATTCACTAATTAATCCAATAGTTATTGAACTACCATGTGCCATACGTTATTCTTAACTCTCAATGATGTTAGCCTGCTTCTAAGACTAAAATCATACTCCAGTAGAAAATTATTGTTCCTGAAGATTCTCAAAAAGACGGGCCTCGGAAGACACGTCCTCAGGTGTTCTAGCACGGTCGGGTCCTGGGACCAGCTTCTGACCTTAAAGGGCGACTGTTCGGAAGGAGACACGCCAGCGAATTATTTGAGTCGTGAGCAACACACCCAGCCTTCCCCTGCCCTCGGCCACCCCCATGGACGTTCTCTCCAGGGTCTGCTCGGCACGTGCGATTAGGCAGGACATTTGGTTTAAGAGAAAGTCTTTGGTGGGAAGCACGAGGAAGCATTTTCTTTCCAAAGGACACAGACACACTGCCCCTGTCTGTCAGTGCGATTCGGGTGAACCTCCAAGCTGGCTGCGTGGTCTCGGCCACCCTGGCTAACCTGCCACACCGGCCCCGTCTCCTGTGGCACACTGAGAAACCCTGGGAAGGCAGCGCGGGCCCTGCTCGGCTGGCTGAGAGGCAAAGGTACTCACCAGCAGTCTTCGGCAGTAACCAAACCGTCTGGCCCCATCTTCTCCCGTTAGGACAAATGAGAACGTCTCACTGTGGTGGGGAAAACAAAAGTGTACTACACAGCAGAGCAAAACAAAGGCACGTCGCGGTGAGCAACGAGAACATCCCGAAGGAGGCTGGCTGCCCGTCTCTGGGCTGCTCCCTGCCCGGCCTGCCCGTCTCTGGGCTGGGACTCCGGTCCCTCTGGCTTCGGTGTCTGTCAGGGGCAGAGAGAGCTGAAGCGGTGCTTTGTCCTGAGAGGGAACGAGGAGATTTTTGTTCACGCTGAGCTCTCGTACAATTCTTTCACCTGAGTCTTCCCAGGACAAAACACAGTCATTTACTGACACCGATTGTGGCTACTGCCTCCAGCGAGCTTGAGGGTGGGGGTGCATCCACTGACCGAGGGGTGCCACTCAGGGAGGGAGAGGTGGACGAGTGGGCCGGTTCGGTGCCCCTCCCAGAACTGCGCCTGGGTGCGGCGTCCCTGGGGGGTTGTCTGCCCAGAGCCACCCCAAGGCTTGGGCTGTCTGTAGAGACTGCTGGGCCAACTTTGAAGAACACAGCATCCCTCACACGTTTAGGATATGCAACCTACTGATGTGGTCAATTGCTGAACGTGTGATGATAACAATCCCATATCCACCCACGTCGGCGAAAGCAGAAATGTGAACTCAGCGCAAGCCAAGTTACAGCTGCATGGGCTACTGAAGAAATGTTTCCGCAGAGCTGGACAGGAATGGGTAACAGACAACGTTTCCCTAAGTTCTCCTAGACTAAGAATTAGCTTACTGCCCTTTATAAGGGCATGAAGTGAACAAAGGCCCAGACTGAGCGGTAGGCCTGGAAATCTGCATTCTTAGCAAGGTATGCAGTTTCTTCAGGAAAATTTTGAAAACATTGGTGAGGGAAACCTCCAGGCCCAGGCCCGCCAGGATCCTGTGGTGGAAGGCCTGACTTAAGGGGTCTGCCATGTATGACCCCATCGCTAGTCCTGGCCCTAGTCTATGTGGGCGGGGAGGGCAGAGGCCGGCACGTACCTGGTAAACTGCTCCACAGGAGTCCAGTCCTTGGCATCGGGGAAACAGAACTGGGGGATGGCCTTCAGCTGGTCCTCAGCCTCTCTCACGAACTTGAAAGACCTTTCCAACTGCCGGGAGAAGGGCAGGGCGAGAAGGTTGGAGAATAAACCCCAGCATGGGAGCGTGAGGCAGAGGCGGGGCCAGACCACACCTCCCACCTGTCCCCCGCCCCGCCCCCGTCGAGACCACCACCTGGACCCCTCCTGGCTCAGTCTGCGGAGGCTCCCCCCCACCAGGGCAGTTCTAACTACAGTCTTATGGGGGAAGTAGGAAGAAAAAAGGTGTGCTTCACAGAACGTTTTCTACGCCTGGTGTTCTGGAACCCGTGCTCCCACAGAGCAGCACCCCGTCCGCCTGGGGGTGGGGGGCCTGGGGCACAGCACGTGCTCGGGGCTGACACGGCGGGACCGCGCACTTGGAAATGCTGAAAGGGCGGATTCTATGTTATGTGTTCTATCGCTACCATTTTAAAAAGCTATTCTGGGAATAATTTTGAGAAACAAGTAAGAATGACTTAAAATTAGTACAGTTTGCTTGTAAACTGGTACACTTACTTAATTTTTAACCTCACCTGAGAATATATTTTTTTCATTGCTTTCAGAGAGAGGAAGGGAGAAGAGAGAGACGTCGATGGCAGAGAGAAGCACCGACTGGTCACCTCCCACTGTGCCCAGGCCAGGGATCGAATCGCAACCTTCCGCTTACAGGACGATGCTCCGCCCAGCTGAGCCGCACTGGCCAGGGCTGAACTGGTGCTTTTAAAATGTTGGGAAGAGTGACTGGCTTTTGTGATTTTACTGTCGTTGATAGGTTTATCCTTATTAAATTTCCTTTTAAAAATAAATTATGCTAAAGTTATCTTCGGTAATTTGAAATACCTGGATTTGAAATGAGTGGAGTCTGAATTTCTGAAGTTAGGAAATTGTAATGTATAATCTAAATTCTTTCTATAGTATTTCCATCGATTTCCTACTTGGTTTCTCAAGGCTTCCCACTGACTTCCACTTCAAACCAGCCTTGCAGACAGTTTTGAGGTCTGCAGGCCAGCAGGCCTTCTGCCTGCTTCACAGAGGCCGCGGAAGGTCAGAGAGGAGGTCGCTGAAGCCAGCCTCCAAAGGGACAGAGTTCTGGGCGGATGGTTTTCAGCTTCAGACCCGACTCTAGCATGACTCCCTTTAGGCTAAATCCGGTGTGACTGCAGCTGCTGCTGCTATTGACGGTTGAGGCAACTACCAATGAACAAAACACAGTTTGTACACCACAGATTTAAAGCCGGTCCTTAACTGTCCTTTAGTTTTCCATTTTCAGAATAAACAGTCTTTCTTTTCTCTATAATCCTTCTCTCTTCCATCCATGACCCAGAAGATCCCATCTGGTTCTGGGACAGTCTAAGTTGACAATTCACTAGCTCAGACTGCTGCCGAAGCAGTGATGTTTGACTGCAGTTGGGTAACCTTGCAGAGAAGCAAAAATGGGACTTGTTGGCAGAGAGAGGGCAATTAATCGCCAGAGTTGAAGACCCCAAACTACAGAGAGGGAAGAAGATGGAACGGTGGCGTTTCCCCACAGCGGGGCGGCACCGGGGAACCGGAGCGCAGGCCTCGGAGGGAAGGGGTTGCTGCGCGTCCCAGCCCGGCCGGTTCCCATTCGCAGCAGCCGCCCCCAGATAAGACGCATGTGCTGCCCACAATGCTGTCATCAACGTATGAGTTGTCAAGCCACATGTGCACACACGTGTTCTTATACACAGGAGCACACGCAGGGAGTGGCACGTGCAGACCCCTCTCATGAACAAGGCCAGCGCCCCAGATGGCTGGAGAAGCCCAGTCCCCATGGGCTGCCACAGAGAGAGCTGCGTGACATCAGGCATTTTATGGAACACGACAATGACCCCTAGCATGCAAAGACGGAGGACGCACCTTGATTACGGGGTCTATGGGGTGGGGCATAAAGCTCACGAGAAAGAGTTAGAAATGAGAAGGAGAACGAAAGAGGAAAAGGTCCATCTGATGGAGCAGGTGGGCAAAGGCAGAAGGCGTGAAAGAGCCTGGCATGCAAAGGGCACGTGTGGAATGACCACCGCACATCAAAGACACATCTAAGGACACCTGGCAGCCCGGGGCGTTCCCAGCAGAGGGAGGTGGGTGGCTGGGTTAGGGCACACCCACATAATGGAGCATTACATCCTCCAAAAGTGACGACTCAGGACTTGTATTAAACATGTTTATAAGTACCGAGAGGTTTATAAAACAGCACACAAAGTATACAAAAATGATACAATGTACAGGGTGGGGCAAAGTAGGCTTACAGTTGTGAATACATAGAACACACAGTTTATTCTTGTATTATTTATTAATCATGGTGTTATCTTCCACATAAAAACTGTAAACCTGCTCTTGCCCCTCGCTGTACTATCGCAGTTTTGTAAGGAAATCAGAGTGTGTGAAGACTGGACGAAAACACAACAAAATGCTAGGTGCCCATCTGGGTGGAAGGGCTCCAGGTGGCTTTTCCTCATGTGTTTCCTGGTGAGCCCCTTTTTCATCAGTGACTGTGCAGCTGTCCACCCAAACTAAGTTTTAGCGGGGACGTCTGGGAGTCCGAAGATGCCATTGGAAGCCAGCATTCAGTGGCTACGCGATCAGTGCCCTCACTCCTGGAACGCTGACTGGGTGCGGCCGTGCAGGCAACACTGAGCTCGGCCTGGGGAGGGTCAGTCAACGGGATGCCAGCACGGTCCTTCCGGCCTGGCTCTCACTTGTCCTGTGAGTCAGCGGAGCATGAGCAGCAGCCTCCTCACCAGGGGCGGCCCCTGCCCCGAATCTAGGCAGGTCCACAGCACAGGGGCTTCCCTGGATCGTCCCCAGAGGCGACCATGTGCCAGTTGGGAGGGCTGGTGCCTCTGGTGCCTTCACTTCTGCAGTTTCCACCCTAAGCTCCAAGGACGGGGCTTTGCTGCTGTGCAGAGCCACTCTGGGCAGGACAGAAGGCAGGCCGGCCCAGGACAGGAGGGGAGGGACGGCTGGACCTGGGCCTCGGGAGACACAGGTGGGGATGGCAAACGGAGAACCTGGGGGGCCCGGGCGTGAGCTCCCCACCCCAGGTGCTCTCTGAACCCCTCAGCCCTGGGCCTGTCACACGCTGCCTGCCGAGTCTCTGTGTGCTTACTTTGTGCCCTCCGGCCAGAGTGTGGATTCCTCCAGGACAGAAAACACACTCTGCTCACCTCTGAAGCCCCTGGGGCCAAGTGGAGAACAGGCTGAATTGTACCAGGGCCTCAGCCAATTCTGGACGAACGGAACCAGAATGTGGTGGAGACCCTTCCGTCCCGCTGTCCAGGCCTAAGAGTAGGTTACAGGGGGCAGGCCATGCCATCTGAGGCTGTATCCAGTGTCACTTCGCTGTAGGTGCCCCAATTTAATGCGTGGAGGAGCCACACCCCCACAGCCACGGGCCCTGCAGCAGAGAACGGGGTTCCTGCGCCTGCGCACACAGAGGTCCTCAGGGGGAGCTGTGTGCCTGACGGGAGAGAGGCCCCAGAGCAGGAGGGGACGTGTGGCTGATACGGAGGCGGGGGTGGGGGGGCCAGGGGAGGGTATGGTCAGCACAGGAGTCCCATACGTATTTTTGACCGTGCTCTATGTCCTTGAACCTCACCTCCTGGGATCGCCCAAATTCTCCAGCAGGAGTTTCTTCATTTGACATAGCCTAATTGGGACCTGACTTTGACATTCTAAATACCACGTCAGACTCCCGTACCTCCCCAAATCCATGAGTCCCTGCACCGTGTTGGCAAGAATGCTGCAGCAGGCCAGGAAGCCAGGACAAGCGGACTAGGGAGATGGAGAGCTGAACACACTGGCTGAGCAGTGTACAGCCAGGTGCAGAAGGTCACCTCCCTGGAGGTGACATCTAGGCCTCAGCCGTGTTGCAGCTCCACGCCCAGAAAAGCAGAAAAACCAGGTGGGCGAGGACACCAAGACCAGATGCAAGGACTAACGGCCCCCTGCCCAGACCCTGAAGGAGGGCACCTGGAGAACTGGTGATATCCTGCTGAAACCCTCCCTGAGACCGCCCCCAGGGTTCCCACCGGCACGAGAGAGACACAAACTCAAGACAAAGGGCCCAGCACGTGCACACTCTCCCTCTGGGGAGCAGCCCATGCCCTTCCCTCCCCCACTTCTTCCCCCACAGGCACACGCCTCCTAAACTCTAAGGGTCCCCTGAGACTTGCAACCAGGGGAGCAGTGGGCAGCGCAGCCCGTCCCAGGCTGACCCCCTGGACCTGCCCCCAAGGCTCCCCTTCTCTGACTTCCCAGTGAGCTAAGGCAGCCCCGCCTGGGCTCTCCTGTTGCTTCTCCTATGCTCGGACTTTCCATGCTTCACTGTCCCAGCTTTAGTAAACACACCCTCACCGTCACCTGGACTGGTGTTGTGACATCTGTCCCGCATGAAGTCGAGAGCCCACACATTGCCAGCCGCCCCAGGCAGACCCGCCCAGCGCCAGGTCCCTGTCCGGTAACACGTTGGCAGGCCGCAGAGGCCCGGCCCGCCCTGCCATACCTTCAGAGGGAACTGCTGGGTGACCTCCGGCACGTAGGCGGCCCCGGCCTGCTTCTTGTGCAATGACACCACCACGAAGTACTCGAAGAGCTGCCTCTCCTGGTACTCCACAAGCTCCCGGTCCAGCGGTGGGTATCTCGGCGCCTGCTTCAGGCGGGACTTCACATTGACCAGGCGCTGGCTGTGAGCTGGGCAGCCAGAGAGAGGAGACAGAGGAGGGGTGGGGAGGCGGCCTGAAAACCACCCAGTCTCTGACGTGCAGTCGCACAGGCCGCAACAGGCGGTGCAGCTCCCAGCTCCCAGTGCTTTGTCCAACCCTAAAGAAGTGTCTCCACATTTAACAAATCAGTATGAACTCTTTCTTGGGGAACCTCGCCAAAATTCCGGGAGGAGCCACATTCGCCAGGCCTCCAGGCTAAGAGGATGCAGTCGCCTGGAACTGGAGGCCTTGGCTCCGCCCCGGATTCGCTGTCTGGACTTGGGGCAGGGCCTGGACCTGTGTCCCTCTGTCAGGTGAGGTGGGGACTCGGACTCCCCTCCTCACTCCTTTTCCTCATTCTTCACATGGTGAGATGTGACCAAACTCAAACGCTAGAGCTCCTGGAGCCTTTGTAAACATCCTGTGTGACTCAGCCAGCGAGACCAAACTCACTGGAGGGCCCCCACCTGCCTTCTCTCCGGCCCCCACTCTGAGCGGTGGAGTCGAGCCGCCTCGTTCCCGGGCAGGGCCACGGGGTGGATGGGCCGCGTCGCCCCACCAGGCAGGCCTGGCCCTCAGCTTTCTTTAGCTTCCAGCCGGGGTCTGAGAAATCGCAGAAACCCCGCCGCACCTGACCTAAATCACCACGCTGGGATCCACAGGGGCAATCATGTCACTGACGTCACACGACAGAGGAGGAACTAGAGGCCCTGAGATCGTCAGTGAGTTTCTCCAGATCACACGGCCATTTTCACAGAAGCAGGGCCAAAGCCCCAGGTGTCTGGAGTCGCAGGCCGGCCGTGTTGCACATCATTCAGGCGTGAACCACGCCTGACACGACGGAAATACCGGGGAGGAGCGGGTCCCCGCCGGTGTAGTCGCCCTGGATCTCCAGCGTGCAACAGGCCCATTCTCATTGTGCCGACGACTGAGCCGCCCCCGAGCACCCTGCGGGCCCCCCGTCCCTTCAGATGTTCACATTCACGCCCTGCAGACAAGCTCGTGCGGGGCCGCGCTGTCCCGTCCCTCCCGTGAAGGGGTCAGGGTCGTGCCTGCAGCTTCCTCGTCACCTGCACGCGCCCTGCACGGCAACCGGTCCTACCTTTCAGCTTCTCCTCCGTGTCACTGTCAGACTCGCTGTTCTCATCTGTCACTAGACGATGGAGGGAGGGAGGGAGGGAAGAAAAGGAAAGGAAAGAAGAACGTGAGTTTTTCTGATGCAGGAACTTTTTACATGAGGTAGCACAAAACCAAGATTTCTAGTTCAGAAGGGCTATTTAAATGACCCCTTTTGTCTATTTAAATGGAATGGACAAGCCATGTCTAACCAAGTCTATTTCCAAATTAATTCGGCCCTAGATCAGATAGTACCGGTATCAAATTATAGCAGAAGATACTGGCCCCTTGTACGCATGCTGAGCGAAGCGGTTGCTCCCCTGTTAGGTCAGAGCTTGCTGCCCTGGGCTCACTGGATGGAGGGACAGGGAGAGAGGAGCCGAGGACATGCCACCAAGCTGTGCCCCTGCCTGGTGGGCCATCCTGGGGCCACTGGAGACACTGACAAAACGCCAGCTTGTGCTCCCGGGTGAGCCGACCCGAGGCAACAGCTGTCTGCTCCCAGGAAGGACCCGAGTTCAGACCCCCCGGGGCGGGGAGGACGGTGCCGGTGCGCCCACCTTTCCCCGAGCTGCTCTCCGTGGACTGGGACAGCCTCTTCACCCGCTTCTTCCCCCTCCGAGCCTCGTAGATGGCGTTGATGCGCACCACCAGCTGCCGGGCACCGAGAGAAGAAAGGCCAGTGTTAGCGGCCACCTCCCCGTGTGCAGTGGGGGCCCTTCACCCCCTGTGCTCTCCCAGGATGAGGGAGGGCCCGAAAAGGGGGCGGGGAGGAGACCTTTCCCCCGGCACCGATGGAAGCATGGAAGGACACACTGTGGTACGCACACACAGGGGAATATTATTCAGCCCAGAAAGGAGGAAAACTCTGACCTACTGTCTAACATGGATAAACCTTGAGGACACTGTGCTAAATGAAAGAAGCCAACCGCAAAAGAACAAATACTACACGACTCCACTTATATGAAGGACGAGCACAGGCAAGTTCACAGCGACAGGAAGGAGAATGGTGGCTGCCGGAGGCGGGGGATGGGGAGTTAGTGAGTCAGCCTTGGCGGACTCCTAGTCCCAGGCTGGGGAGACGAGAGGTTCTGGGGGGTGCTGGTGAGCGCCACAGAGCAGTGCACTTAATGCCACCAAACCACACACTTAAAAACGGTTCCAACGACAAGTTTGACGTTATACACATTTTACCACAATTTTGAAACTAAGTATGATAAGTAAACAAGTGAGTTGCTAGGTTAAACTGTTTTTTGGAGAGGAGGGAAATTTTAAACCCATTCAAAATCTCCCCCCTGAGCATCCAAAAATAACTAGAAAGCAGACAGTTACGGTGTAGTTAACACCCTTCCACTTACTCAAACACAGTGAACACAGAAGGTAAGCTCCACGTGGGTGGGGACCTTCGACTGTGCTGTACCAGGCCCTGCGTGGGAAGGAACAGCGCCTGGCACACAGTAGGGGCTCAGTAAATATTTGTGAATTTCTTGATTGAATACAAAGCACCTATGATGTGCAAAGGGTTCTACCAGGAGCTGTGAGGGAGAAACAGCTGTAGGGGACAGGCGCCCGCTCTCCGAGAGTTCACGAGCTAGCAGGGAGGACCGAGGTGCATCTGTAACAACCACAGGAGACAGGGCAGGGTGCTCTGTGAGCAGAGTGGTCACGTGCCAGAGAAGGCGCTCACTCTATCTCAGGTCAGGAACAAGAGGGAGCCGCATACACACCAGTCAATACATCTTTCTCCCTTTTTATTTAAAAAAAAAAACAACGCCGACTGGCATGGCTGAGTGGGTTGGGCATCGTCCTGCAAAGTGGAAGGTCGCTGGTTTGATTCCCAGTCAGGGCACATGCCTGGGTTATGGGTTTAGTGCCCAGTAAGGGCGTTTACAACTGGCAACCAGTAGACACTTCTCTCTCACATTAATGTTTCTCTCCCTCTTTTTCTCCCTTCCTTCCCCTCCCTCTAAAAATAAATGAAATCTTAAGGAAATAAAAAAGAGCCAGGAAAGGTGTATTTTGATCACTCCTGCCTCAGAGCCCAGGCTCTGCACAGAGCTGCCCTGCGGCAGACACTGGCATGTTCTGACCCAGAGCAGGCGGACGGAGCTGCTGCTTGAGGCCGTGCAGGGGGACCATGTGGCCTTCGGAGGCTGGGCGCCGCAAACGCTGCCAGGGATGGGCAGAGTCGCTGAGGCTGGGAGAAGGGTGGTGAGGTGGGAGGCTTTGGGCCACAAGGCATCCCACCCTGCTGGCTTCCCCGGCCCCCCAGGCCTGCGAGGAGGCAGGCTGCAGCGAGCGCAGTGGCGGTCTCTGCCCAGGCACCTCTGCAGCCTTCCTTGGCGGGGGTGGGGTGGGGGCACAGCTGATGTTGAAGTTTGTCGCAGGCCTTACCTTGGGGATCTTTCTCTTCTTCCTGCCATTCGGTGGGTCTCCAAGATTAAAGAAAGTGTCATCGGGGCTGCTGGGGGTGGAGGGGGGGCTGAGTTTGGAAGGGGACCCCATTCCATCCCGATTCAGCTTCCTAGTGTCCAGCAGTTTGAAGTTCCTCCTCTCTGAATTTTGCCGGAAAAAGGCAGGTTTGGACAATAACTGCTGTGAGGAGAAAAAATAAAGAAGGTATGTGAACACACAGGGGACTGACCGGGAGTCACCGGTGGTGCTGGTGACAGAGACCATGAGCTGGAGACGGGGACCGGGGTTTGTGCTGGCAGGTGCAGGTGCATTAGCACCACCCAGTTACGGAAAGTCGGCCTGACCAAGGACGCAGTCCACACTCTCTCTTCTAGACAAGTGGGACTCGCCTGGCTCAGTAGCCTCCCAGAGAAGGCTTTCTGACAATCCAAGCCACACGGTGTGGAAGGCAGTACGTGCCCTAGGCCTACCTTTGACCTTGCCCCTGGCAAGCTAAGTGCCTCCTCTACAAGTAATTTCTTGTCTCTGGGCCTCAGCTGCTTGAAGGTCAAAAGGCAAACAAAACAATGGGTAAAACACCCTGACTGATGTAGCTCAGGGGGTGGGTGTCAGCTTGCAGACTGGTGTGATTCCTGGTCAGGGCACATGCCTGGGTTGTGGGCCAGGCTCCCACATAGGGACGTGCAAAGAAGCAACTGATATGATGTTTCTCTCCCTCTCTCTATTTCTCCCCCTCTCTCTAAAAAATAAATAAATAAGATCTGTTAAAAAAAAAAAAAAAAACCCCTGGTAAAACATTTTGTGTAATTCACAGAGCTAATTTTTTTTAAAGATTTTTATTTATTTATCTTTAGAGGGGAAGGGAAGGAGAGAGGGAGAGAAACATCAATGTAATGGTTGCCTTTCGTGCGTCCCCTGCTGGGAACTGGCCTGCAGGGAACCAGCCTGCAACCCAGGCATGTGCCCTGACTGGGAATCGAACCTCGATTGTCTGGTTTGCAGGCCTGTGCTCAATGCACTGAACTACACCAGCCAGGCAGAGCTCATTTTTCTAATGCATACTACAAACAAATGAGAGGATAACAATTCAGAAGAAAGGCAAAAGAATGGAAAATTTGTAGAAAAAAATACAACGATTCTTAAGAAATATAAAGGTTTCACTTATAAAAGAAAATTAAAATGCTGGTGAAGAAACATTTTTCACTCAAAGAGCAGCAAAGACAAAACAATGTAACTCGCTGAACTGTGCCAGCGAGGGAAACCAGTTACTCTCCCACTTCCACACACCGACAGGGGGACTGGAAACTGGCACAACTCCACGGGGAGGCAATCTGGCCGTATCAGCACAAATTCCACCCCTAGGCATCTGTGCTACTGATGTGCTCACGCTGGTGCAGCTACACTGTACCAGGAAAGCTGCGCCTTGTGAAGTATGCTGTGCGCTGCACCTTGATCCCGAGTAAACACGAAAGAAAGGCAATGACCTCAGTGTCTGTCAGCAGAGGCCAGTCGAATACATCACGGCACAGCCACACGGCATGACACAACTGAGGTGTAACAAACCCTAGTGTTCGGATGCGGAAGGTTCCCTCCGCTATGTACCGTGAAGCATGCAAAGCAGAGTGTGGAGGAGTCAGTATGGCAGGCTGACATGCATGTGTGCGTGTGTTTGAAGCTATTCCGCTGGTACATGCGCAGTTCTAGATGCACAAGGACCTAACATGGTTGCTCCAGGGCAGAGAAACAGAGGATCCGGGTGAGAGGAAGAATGTTCACTGTTTACCTTTATACTCCTAAAATTTTGAACCATATGAATGTATTAACTACTCACTAAAATAAGAAATATCAGCCCTGGCTGGTGTGGCTCAATGGACTGAGTGCTGGCCTGAGAACTGAGAGATCACCAGTTCCATTCCCAGTCAGGGCACATGCCTGGGTTGTGGGCCAGGTCCCCAGGAGGGGGTGCATGAGAGGCAACTGATGGATGTTTCTCTCCCTCTCCTACTCCCTCCCTTCCTCTCTCTAAAAATAAATAAAATCAACACACACACACGAAGGAAAATATATAAAACATAAGAAATATTAATAAAATAACTACTTTGACTATATGTTTTCTAAAGGTACTTCCAAGTCTCATATTTTATACTATAAATATGGTCGCAAAGTTTCTTTTTAAAATTAATTAATGTATTAGATAAGGCACCTAGCAGAGAACCTAATACACAGTAGGCATTCAATATAAGTTATTTCTCTTCCTCTTATGACACTGACTTATTTCATACCTTAGTGTGCAAACTGCATTGTCTTTAGTATACTATTTACCTTTTGGGATCCCAGTGTTTCTCTTATTAATTTGGATGAGTTCCCTGTATAGATCAGATATTAAATATTTGTCAGTTTTACTGTGTGTTTTTCCATGTGGTTCATTTATATTTTTATTTTGGTTATGTGGTATTTTTCACATAACATTTTTATATCTGTAAATCTGTTCATCTTTTCCTTTGTGAGTGATTTAATCGTCGCGTAGAAAATCTATACCTTTTTAGAGGTTTAATAAATACTTAATTCCATTTTTCTCAATTTTTCTTAGTTTATTTTGAACATAATGTATTCATTAATCCATCGGTAATTTATTTTATTGTATATTAGTGTAAGTTGATTCTTCCCCAGGCTAACTTATCCCCGTTTCATTAAATAAATGAGCCTTTCTTTTTCTATCATTTTATAAGCCCACACTTATCACATCTTAAAACTCTCACAGAACAGGCTGATTTCGTTCCATTGGTTTCCCCGCTACTGTTTAGCTCCAAGGAGTGTGTGACAGTCAACTCCAGACCCTCTGCCTTTCAAAGCCTGCCGCCGTCAAGGCCCCTGGCCTGCTCACCTGGCCCGCTGCCTGGTTTGCCGTGTTCTACAGGGAGCGACCCATGGCTGGGCACTGCCATTCTGAGCCAAGCAAGAAGTCGCCTGGTTTGCTCACTATGGGTATCGTAATAATTAAACCAGCCAAAGAGGAAGAAATAATAATGAGCCTTCTTTTAAAGACCAAATTCTGTCTGCGATGGAATCCAAAGAAATGGCCCCAATTCTTTCACTGCACTGGAATCTCCTGTCAAATCGTTGGCCAAAAGCAGGTTATCTATTTCCATTAGACAGACTGCGTAGTGTCTGTTCAGAGAACATCTGACGTGTGGACAGGACTGAGAAGAGAGAAAACGGAGAGGAATGAAACACGGCACTCGGTTTTCTCAAGGGTGAGAGACGGGAGGCGGGATGTGGGCTGCACCTCCCAGGGGTCACTGTGCTGGAGGAAGGGGCCCGGGGCGTGCGCGCCAGGGCACCCGAAACAGTGCACGTGTCCAGGGAGCTTCCATGAAGGGGCAGAGTTTCAGTGGCTGCTGAGCCGCTGACAAGAGGACTTGGTGGACGGTGGGGAGAGCATCACTGAGTCCGCAGCACGGACCGAGAACGGGCACAGAATGAGGAGGAGCAGACAGACCAAGGGGAGCCCTTGAGGGGACGATGCACCAGTGAAGACACCCAGTTGCCCGTGGGAGCCGTGGAAAGCGAGGGTACACATCTTGGACTTGGCAGTGGTCAGCAAGCTTTTTCTTAAAGGCCAGCGAGTAAATACTTTAGGCTTTGTGGGCCTTCCCGTCTCTGTCACAGCTACTCAGCTCTGCCACTTTAGTGCAAGAGCAGCCACAGACAATGTGTGAACAAACCAGTGTGGACGTGTTTCAGTGAAACTCTAGTTACAAAACCAGAGGACCAGAAGTAGTTTGCCACGTGTGAACTACGGATGAAAAGGGGGCTCGCTGTAGGACCTGGGATGACTGTGGTCCAGAGAGGGCTCCAGGTTTTGATCAGAGCGCCTCACAGCAACACACTCTGACAACGATGCGCCCGGTGCCACTGTCTCTACGGAGTGGCCTCTGTGGAGGGACTAGCCTGGTGGCAGAGCCCACAGGCTCCCTGACCTTACAGACTTTGGATTCACAGTGGACCTACAAAAAGATCTGTGGTGTCCAAAACGGTAAAGCAGACAAGGACCCCCTTTTGAAACCTCCTGGGTTATTTCTAGAGACCAGGTATGATGAGCCCTGGCTGGCCCCCCCCCCCCCCCCCCAGTGGGGCCGAGGGGGCTGGGCTGCCAGGAAGCTGTCTGCCTCCCCGAGGGAGACCACGTGACATTGAAATGAGGGACCATCACTCAGACAACACAAACTGTTTTTTAAAAAAACTAATGGCATGGAGAAATAGTCATGGTCACTATGTATAAAAGAGCAGTCAACTATTTACACAGTATAATCCCAAAGCTTTTTTTTAACGTACACACACTCACACACGTACAGTGTGAGACAGCCTGGGAGGAAATGAACCAGCGTGTTAACAGTGGTTGTCTCTGGGTGTGGGACTACATGCAATTTTTAAAAAGACCTATAAAAAACACACAAACATGCACACGCACACATAATAACAATCTACTACAGGAAAAAGAAAATACATGAACATAAAAAACAAAAGTCTATTACAAATGAGTTTTGTTTTCTTAATTACACCTTTCAGTATTTAAAAACTTTTTATGAGAACTTATTTCTACTTTCTAAGAATAAGGTTATTTTTAAAAGAACATATACCGAAAAGTGTTTCTCCGTGTACTTAGCAAACATAAATAGTGTTTGCCTTGCAGGCACTAATCTAAGTGGTTTATAGGTATTAATTTGATGATCTTTCATAGACTCCGAAGAGGAGTGTACTATCATTATTATTCCTATTTTACCAATGAAGAAAGAAACGCACAGCAATGAGATCCTTCTGCTCAAGTCCCCCGGCTAACATGAGGCCGAGGTGGATTCTGGATGGAGGAGGTCAGGCTCTCGAACCTGCACCCCCGACAGGATGCTGCCTCCCCGTATGATCTGTCGGTGGGAGGTGGTGTGGGGGGCTATCCAGGCAACCAGAGAGTGCTGATTAGTGATGCACTTCTCCCGTTGGGGTCATTACGTAAAGAAGAAGATCTCATATTAGCCTTTGAGATCAGCCTTCTGTAAACATCAGCTCCTACCACGTTTGCTGTGTGTTGGAGGTGTGGGGTGGTGGGTCACACGGAGCAGGAGAAGAGCAAGCCCTGGCTCAGGTCTTTGCACTGTATTAGCATCCGCCCTCAGCTGGACATCTGCTCCTTTCTAGGGCAAGTCTGTGCAAAGAACCCTCCCTTTCTGCTGGGACCCACTAATAAGGTGAAAATCCCAATGTAATGTAATGTACTGACATTTCAATATCATTCAGGATCTTTCTGTGGCTGGTAGAGGGAAAGGCCACAGAGGGACCGCTTCAGCGCGTTCTGAGGTCCCAGATGCAGCCCAGATGTGGCATGAATATTCAAGGAGCTCCACGGAGGAAGTGGAGAAGTCTGCAGCTGTCCCGGAACGGGGGCACAACCCAGACTCCCAGATGTGGGAGAGGAGAGGCAGGCGTATGGACACAGAGCCCACGGCAGCCTGCTGACAGGGGTGTCCCACCTGCGTCCCGCGGGCCACATGCCACCCAGGGTGGCTGTGGATGCCGCCAGACACAAGATGATGAGATTGTTTTGTGATTACGTGTCCCAATGTATTTAATGTGTGGCCCAAGAAAACTCTTCTTCTTCCAGTGTGGCCCAGAGACACCAAAAGGTTGGACGCACCGGAGCCTCCAAGGCTCAGTGGCAGTCGGACATGCGCACAGGGCAACTGGTCACCCTCCAGCGGGGGAGCTGCCTCACAACCTCCGAGTGCTCGCTCGCTCGGCTGCCTACTTGTCTCTCGATTCTGGGGACAGAGGACCTGCACTGTTCCAGCCTGGCAGGAAGGGGACGGGAAGGGCTAAGGCTTTCTTTTCTGGCCTCAGGAAGCGGCGCCCGCTCTGCATGCAGGGCTGCTCTGCGTGGGCAGTTTACTTGTTCCCAAGAGGCCGTGTGGCTCACTCTCCACATGGAGTGGAAGGTGGGCCGTGCTGAGTGGGACGTGAAGGGGCAGACTCGGGTGACAGCCTTCCCTGAGGATTTCCTAAGTGTGGACAACGTCCATATTCCAATGAAAACAAAGCGCATTCCATGGCTGTCTCTGACCATTCACCACCACACTCCCTTCCACGGGAGGAGAAAAGAGGAGTCGACTGGTCCCTGCAAGTGCTGTGCCACTTGCTTTGGGTCTGTACGGTCCACCCTGCATGACAGGTTCCACCTTCAACTCTCTTCAGGGAGACCGGTGGCCCCCGAAGATCCCCTTTGTGATTGTCAAGCACAAAAGGCATGCCTCGTGTGCTGACCCCACAGGCCCACCTGCCGGCGGAGGCTGCCCTGGCCTGGGGGCCCAGGAGAGGAGCGCGGCTGCTTTGCTTCGGCTGGAAACACACCCTCGCGGTGGGGTCACACCGAGGCTTGCAGCCTGGGCGCGGCTCCCTTTACAATTTTGTCAACACCTAAACGCTGCATAACTGTGTAACTGCTACTTACGGGAGACACAAAGAAACAGTGTACTCACTGACCCTGAGGAATTTACAGTGCGGTTGGGATGACGTTTTTAAGATACAGTGCGGGACTGAAATCAGACTTCGAATTGTCCCAGTAAGCGGTACCATCAGGCAGTATCCACAGTCTGGTGCGAGATGAAGGCTCGAGCCCGCTGAATGCTGCAGGCAAGTGGCGGGGAAGGGGCCCGGGGCCTGAGATGGCCTGGAAGCTTCCTGAGGGAGGCACGACCGAGCAACCTTAAAGGTGGGGGAGAGGTTCAGGCAAGAGCCAAGGCCAGAGGGAGGGATGGCCTAGTGCAGCAGCAAGCAATCTACCTGTGGGCCATATCTGGCTAGGAGCTAAGAATGAGGCAGCAGCGGGTGCCCGGGCACCAGTTACGGAGGAAGTTCAGTGCTCTGGTGAGGACTGTGAATTCAGTCCTGTGGGCAATGGGCTGCGACGATCACGTCCGTTAATGCAGTTATACTATCTATGTGCACATACCTGCAAGGTTTGAAAGGCTATTCTGTAAGGAATGCGAGGCTTCCACCCTGACCTCCAGGTGCTCAGACACTCAGACGGCGGCACAGGTACCCATACTCACCCTTGCAGAGGTCTTTCTTCACATGCACAGACATACCAGACTACACATATGCACATTCTTCCATTAAACACCCCACAGATGGTGGCACACAATAAAGACTGCTGCTGCACCATGCCTTTCGGTTCTGTGTGTCCAGTTCTGTAATTACGACATTCTTCTTCTGCAGCCATACACTACCTCATTCACTAGTGGGAGGAGTTTCTGACACCGCAGCGGCTAAGATGGCCCTTCAGGAGGCTCTGCTGAGCAGAGGGCTCCAGGGGAACTGGAGGCCGGAGGAGCAGGCAGCTTGGTGCACATTGGGGAGCCGGGTGGCAAGGGTGCTCCGGCGTCCCAGGGTGACCCAGAGCTCCAGGCTGCTCAAGGCCGTGGGGCCGAGACCCCTTGTTTCCCGACACTCCCCTGGGGGCTCATACCTTGGTGGACGTGTCAGAGATGGAAGAGGTGGGAGAAGCAGGAAAATTCAAGACACACTTCTTTCCCAGGCAGCGACCGTGCAATTCAACATCCTCATAAGGGTTTTCCTTCATCGGTGGATCTGTGGTCACAGGCAGCGGGTCAGGAGGTGGGGACACTGAGGAAGCTTCCATCCCTGGGTCTACCCAATGCCCCGGCCTCTCCTAGTGGGGCTTTCTGAAGTCTTGCTACCCGCCCACCTTTCCCCTTGGTAACAGACCCTGACTGTCACAGGAGTTAACTCCCTGTCTCCCGTTCTTAGACGTCTGAGATTAATTCCACTCCGCTTGCAAGACTATAGCCAATCAGTTTTCCGAGTCCCTGCCTCAGTGACCAGGGCCAGGAAGGGCTCACACCCCAAGTCTGAGCCGATCACTGCAAGGCACTCCCAGGCTCTGCAGGTGAATGAGGGACCTAAACTGACTCAGTCAGAGTGAGCCCCAGGATCTTTGCTGGGACTTGCAGGGGACAGACGCTCCCTGCAGGGAGCTGATCATGGAAAGCCCCTCCGCAGCCGGGGCACGGCCATTCACAGTCTGCGCTGCAATGCAAAGGGCTCAGCTGAGTACATGCCTTTCCTCCAAGCTCGCGTCTCCGCCGACCGTGGAGTTCACCCCGGGACTGACTGCGTGTGTGTACGTGTGCGTGCGTGCCTGCCCCTTCCCTGTGGACACACGTGGGTCTCTTCCCCGACCCCCAGACCTACCCCCAACATGCAGATGCTGCTCTGAGCTGACACCCCACTGAAACCGGGGCCTTCCCTGAAGACACCAGAACTCACCAAATTATTTTTTTTTAATTTTTATTAAATTTATTGGCGTGACGTTGGTTAAACAGATTATGTAGGGTTCAAGAGTACAATTCTGTAACACATCAGCCGTATACTGCACTGTGTGTCCTCCGACCAATGTCCAGTCATCTTCTCTCACCGTATTTACGAGCACATTTGACCCCCTTCATCTTCACAACTTCCCTGCCCCCACTCTCCCCTCTGGGAGCCCCCGTGTCTGTGTCAATGAGTTTTTTGTTTTCTTTGTCTATTTGTTGCTTTCAGTTTTATAGCCCATGTATGAGCAATGCCATATGATTCTTCCCTTTTTCCGTCTGACTTATGTCACCTAGCATGATATTCTCAAGATCCATCCGCATCGTTGCAAACGGCAGTACGATTTCATCTTTCCTTAGGACTGAGCTGACTCACTGCATTTAAATACACACAGACTCTGCGAATCTGAACCTGACTCTGGAATCTGAGAGAATTCCTCAGCGCTGGGCTGCAGTTTCTTTTTCACCAGCAGACGTTCCATGTGGTCTGAATTTGGATGACCCGTTAGTGCCCCGCTCCTCCGGTTTCAGAAGGAGTGTGGTGTCCTTCAGTTTTCTTCATGCAGGGACCCCTACGATGTACTGAGCACCTGCTCTGAGTCAGGGATTTTATGTACCACTTTCTCCAGTCCTCAAACAACCCCATAGGGTAGCTATCAGCATCCTTGGCGTGCAGATGAGAGAACTGAAGTTCAGAGACGTCAAGTCGCCAGTTCATTCTCATATAGCTAAGAAGTAGCGAAGCCGAGATTCTATCACAGGTCTCGAAGCTCCAGCTCTCCAGAGCAAGACACGCCGCCTCCTGGCCCCAACCCTCACAGCCCCTCTCTCCCTGGCCCCGTGTTTTCTCACCTATTCCACCAGGGGCCGCTCTTCCACTCACCTACCTGCTCTGTCATTCACTAGAGCACAGGGATGTCTCCGAGTTGAATACGTACGTGTGTGTGTGTGTGTGTTCCACGCCCCAGCCCCATTTCTTCTCTCTCCTTGCACGAAGATAGCTCACTCCCACACAGTCCATCTGGCCCCTTACCTAGAATGTCTTCGTAGACGTTCTCCTCTGACAAAGTGCGCGTGAGCCCCAGCTGTGTCTGTGCGTACCAGTCGACCCTGATGTTCTCCAGGGGAGACTGCGGTAGGTCTTCGAACTCATAGGACTTCCTGGGTTGTGTCAAGCGGGAGGGGGAAAAAAACAAGAATCAAGTCAAACTGGGCTGGTTCAGAGAATATGCCCCGAAAAAATTTTTTTCTTGCAAAAGTTCCTATTATTGAAATCAACTCTGGTTTTTGTAAAAAGGTATAAAAATACTCAAATATGAGATGTGGCTTTGACTTGAAAGAATGCTCTTCTGCCAAATAAGAAAGCAGTCCCAACTTTTAAAAAAATATTTATTTACTTTTTTACAGAGAAGGGAAGGGAGAAAGCGAGAGAGAGAATCATCAGCGTGCGAGAGATGCATGGTTGCCTCTCAAGCGCCCCCAACGGGGTACCTGGCCTGCAACCCAGGCATGTGCCCTGCCCTGGAATTGAACTGGGGATCCTTCAGTTCACAGGCTGGCCCTGGATCCACTGAGCCACACTGGCCAGGGCCAGTCCCAACTCTGTAGGCAAACACATAGACAGAAAAGAAAAAGAAGAAAGTAAAACACACTAGCTGCTGTCAGGTTCATTCAGGACTGAGGGATGGGTCCTGGCTTCTCTTTACTTTTTCTTCCCTGAACTTTTCAAATGTCCCACAATGTTTAGAGAGCACACACATTAATAACAAGAGAAGGGCAGTGGTGGCCAGTGCAGAGCAGACCAGAGGCCTGGGCCCCTCCCTGCTTGCACCCATGTGCATGGTTATCACCCGAATGAAGCCCAGAGGCCATGAGATGCCTCACCCTGCCCCTTAGACATCTGTGCAAACCCAGCCGGGTCTCTGCCTGCTGCCTGGCTCACTCCATGGCTTTTGACCACCCCACCCCACCCTACATCCACACGGGTGGTCCCTGATAGTGTGGATCAGAATCACTCAAGTTTCTATGGTTTTTGTAACTTCACTGAACACATTACGGGGTCACGAGGTGCATCCTACTGTGTAACACATGAAACGTCGGCCACCTCACAGGTCCACTCTGCCTCCCACACTGTCCTCTCTCCCTCCTTCCTTCTCCTTCTCCCAAGCAACCCAGAACTTCCCCTCCAGGTGGAACAGAACAGCCCTGCCCACTCGGATTTGCCTCGGCAGACCTGTCAGGAATTTCCACTGAACACACTCGGGCCTTCCTCGAATTGGACTCAGGTGGTCATGCGATCCCTCCACAATGAACAGGACATACTCCCCAGCTGACCTTGGTCCTGGCCCTTCACTCCTCCTCAGAGAGGGTGGGGGTGGGTAGCACCCTGCTACAGCTCAGGAAGCACGGCTCTCCTCTCGTTCACGTGTTTAGCACAGTCTTCTAAACAAGCCAAATGCTAAACTGTAGAGTGCTTGGAAATGTGAGGTGTTCTTCTTCACCCACACTCCCCATCTCTCCCTGGCCCCCGGGGAGGGTGCCCCACTGGACACAGGGCTGGGGTCCTCCATTCACAAGCCTTTTAACCTTGGCTGAACCACTTCCCTAGGCTGAAACAGAAAGAGAATGTCGGTGAAGTCCTCAGCACCCAGCGAGCACTCAACAAGTGGCAGCCCGTGCAGTTTACGCAGCAGACGTTTTACGTTGAGCACTTACTGTGTGGGAGGCCCCGCACTCAGGGTTCGATAAATAAGTCGAGTGTGTCCCTGCCTCTGGAGCTTACGCACCAGAAAGGAAGACAGACTTTCCGCCAGCTCAGGTGCAGAATTATGAATGTGTAAGTTCAGTGACGGGAAAGGACAGGCTGCTACAAATGAGACCATCAAGGAGGCCTCCGTTCTGGTTGGCGACGCACCAGGGAAGGCCTCGATGGGAAAGTCACTTGTCCAGGCTGAGACCTGAAGGATAAGAAAGGCTTTCCAAGAAGCGGGAAGGGCACGTGCGAAGGTCCTGTGGCTACAGAGCGCGTGGTGCGTTTGGGAAACGACAGCTGTTCAGCAAGCGGGCCTGTGGGGAACACGGGCGGAGGGTGCCGGGAGATGGGGTGGCAGAGCCAGGCAGAGGCCCGCAGCCTGCTTCCCAAACCTTGAGGACTTCTCGCACTTTAAATAAAGCTTTGCCTCTTCACTAGTTTCTTCCTCTCTTTCTTTAAACATGCTCAGGTTTCCTCTATGTTTAAAAACTTTCATTTGAAGCCATGACCCTGGTGGTTCTGCTATTTCTCACCTTCCTTGCCAACCTTTCCCATGGGCGTGGGGCGTGGGGCAGGGTGTGGAGACTTTTCTGACAGTATAAGCACTAGTTCACCACAGCACCCTGGTTTTTCTCTCCCTCACCTTCTCAGCCTGGCATCTTGGTGCATCCCTTTTCTGAAACTGTCTCCAAACTGTCACTACTGAGTTTCTGGTGAAACCTAACCACTTTCTCACGCCTTTTCTTACATGATCCCACTTTTCTTTACACGTGTGCCCAGGCTGGCATCAGCCAGGTGTCTGACAGAGAGCAGAGCGCGGTGGCCTGGAGTGGGCCGCGGCTCCTGGGCGAGCCCACGGGACTCTGTCAGGTGGACCGCTCAGGGTGCCCACCACCTCGATTTGCCAGACAAGAGGCAAACTGCTCTGGGAGATCACAGAGTCACCCGCTCAACAACACTGAGGACCAACTAGGGGCTTTATCGGGGTTAGCACATTTGGGCTTCGCAACAACCTTGTGAAGAATGAGAAAACAGACCCAGAGAGAGGCTAGATGAACTGCTCAAGGCCACGCTGGGAGAAAGTGGTGGACAGGGAGTCTGGCTGCAGATGGTGCTCTGAACAAGACGGGCCCTGAGCAGAGCATGCAGTACCAGGCAATGCATGAGAAAGGCTGCAGCCACAGTTCGCAGGTTAGAACGAGCCCAGTTTCCAGAGTCTGAAGTTATGAACCTGAACTAATGTTCCACACAAATCACATTTCACGTTGCTGTGAATCAGCCAGCAGGCCCTCTCATTCCCTCATCATGGAACTAAATTATGTGACGAAGAGAAGCTACGAACCTCCACAGAAAAAGGAGGGGGCAGGCGGGGTCCCTCCCCTGGGGGCTGAGCCGGTTCTGCCAAAATGCCAGAAAGCCCCACTCCTGGCATCGTGAGAGGGACGCAGAGGTGGCCGCCACCAGCAGGGAAAGCCCCGGAGACGCGGAGTTCAAGCATGACCCTGGCTGAGCTTGGACTTTTTTTTAAATTTCAGAGAGGGGCTGCAGCTATGCCTGGCTCTGCCGTGGCAAGAGCTCTGTAATTGTTCTTATTTTTTTAAAAATCTCATTTGAGGCACCTATGAAGCAGTATTTGAAAAGGTCAAATTTTAAAATGAGAAAATTTTATGAAGTACCTATGAAATAACATCTGATAATTCAAATGTTTTAATAATAAATGCTGTAACAAAACAGATGTTTGCATGCTCTCAACTCGCCAAGCCCCAGAGGGCGGCTCACTTACTTAGAACATATGTAACCCAACCTGGACTATCTGTTGGGGTTCGCTGGGATGGGTCAGCCTGCATCCAAGCTGCCGCTGTCAGACATCCAGGGGGCTCAAGCCAGGATCTGGACGTTTTTATGATGCTTCCATAGTTCCGGGAACAAGATGCTAATGTAAGAGTTTAGCTGTACTTTGCCTTCCATTCCCAACACACAGAAGGTGCCTACTACCAGTCAAAATAGCATTAGAAAAATAAAATTTTTAAAAACTAGAAACTTCCTAAAAAAAAAACTAATTAGAAGATGGTTATTCACATTGCAAAAATCTTTATTTAATTTGCAAGGGAATTCATCACAAGATTTCTCCATGTCTGTATTTAAATGTTGGTTTTCAGGTGACTAATTCCTATGCAAGAAGCATATAAAACAGAGAAAAAAATTCTTGTAAATATTTTATTTATTTATTTTTAGAGAGAGGGGAAGGGAGAGAGAAATAAAGGGAGAGAAACACCAATGTGTGGCTGCCTCTTGCACATCCACTACTGGGGACCTGGCCCGCAACCCAGGCATGAGCCCTGATCTAGAATTGAATCAGCAACCTGTTGGTTTGCAAGCCAGCACTCAATCCACTGAGCCACAACAGCCAGGGCCAAAGAAAATTGTAAATCAACATGAAGCCACAGGACACACAAAAAAACAAGGGGGAACCAGAAATCTTTACCCAGTTTCCTGAGTCACTGGGAGAGAGTTCCAGTTACAAAGTTTGATTGATCACGGTTGGGTGCTGGTATTTGCAAGCGATGACTTCACACAGTTCCTCCTAAGCACTATTTCTATGACCTGCACACATGCCTCCAAGGACGGGGGTTGGGGATTGGGGATTGGGGGTTGGGGGTTGGGGGTGGGGGTGGGGGTGGCTCCGGATGTGGCTCTGGGAGGTGATGAGGTTCCCCAAAGAAAAACGTGATTAAACGAATCATCTAACCGCTTAGCTAAGTCCTTTCCATAAAAATATTTTTTAACCTGAAAAAAAGGTTTAATGCCTTTATTTACATATTAACTTTGAGAGAAAGGAAGTTTCGAAAGGCTTCTATAACCGCATCTACATTGGCTTCACTCTTGTTTACGTATTTCCACATCGTCCCACGAGCAGCCCACACGGTTAATAAACACCTTCTGAGGGCTGCGAAGAGCGCATAGCTGGTGACGCAAAGGCGTCCCTGCCTTTAAGGAGCCCTCAGCCTGGTAAGGGGGTGCAACCCCCTCACAGCCCAAGTTCGCCTCCTGGGCCCTCCAATTATCATGTGATTTGGGTGCTTCTTAGTTGTGGAAATGCTGGAGTGACCTGATTGGCCCTCTGTAAGTTTGCTGAAGTGGGTTATAATTCATGTAATGACCAAATTTCAACAACCGATGCCGAATATTGTGATTTCAAGTAGGACTTTGTATGTTATTTGTGACTTTTCCATCTTTTGTAAATGAAATACTAACGTAAGAGCTCCTCCCACATCTCCACCTGCACGACGCACGGGAATCTCAAAATTGACACATCCAGAACTGAACTCATACTCTCACCCCCTCCCTCTCCACGTGAGGTCCAAAGCCTCCTCCAGCAAAGCCGTTTCAGCGAAGGCCGTCCCCATCC